AAAACAAATTATAATTTAGCAAATAAAATATATTAAAATAATTAATAAACATTGTAATACAAAATATATTTATATGTATGTGAAATAATAATAAATTTTAAGAATAACTAAGGAATAAGAAAAAAAAAAAAACTCTTCTGAAACGCTAGGTTATATACCTTTTCAGAAATTAGTTTTTTGGATCCAATAAGCTATTTCAAAAAATTAATTTATCAAATACCTAAATCAGCTTTTTACTGATCAAACAGCTATAAAAACTAATTGTTTAATAAACTAAAAGCTCTTTAAAAAATCTTTTCAAACACCCTCCAGATCTTACACACAAGAAGGCAAAAAAAAGAAAGAAACTCCTGTCGGACCTAATTTGCAGGGTATTAGGTTCGACTGGGGTTTACACACTACACTTTCGGGTAGCGGCTGCGGATTCTCATATCATTAAAAAAAAAAAAAAAAAAACTCATAGTAACACAACTCTATATTGCAATAGATTGAAAGAAAAACTAGTCAACTAAAATATAAAAATAAACAGTTACATTGAGATTTCACTACAAAAAAATAATATATTTGTAACGGAATTCCGTCCCTAAAGTTCACGTAGCTAACGTAATTTCATTCCTAATTCCGTCTCTAATGTCATTAGTAACGGAAAAAGTAGATTTAGAGACAAAAAAATTTTGTTACAAAAATAATTTTTTCTTGTAGTGTTTGTTCAGTTAAGTGATATTGAGATAATAAGATTTTTTTTCTACTTTTTTTCTTATATGTGAAATGATTCTCTTCACAATGAAAAAAAAAAGAAGATTTGTAGAATTTAATACTATATTCAATATTTGTAATTCTTAATTTAAGCCATAAAAATAATAGAATTAATTTCCTAATTAACATTTAAAGAAAATGATATTTTTTAGCCATGAAAATAATCGCATTTTGATTTTTATTATGATCCGATGGCTAAGGTACATTTAGCATAATACTGAGTTTGTTTCTTTTGATCAAAATCTCAGTTTTTTTTTATATTTGGTCTCTGCGTTTTTCGAAAAAAAATATATTTTTTTTTCTCACAAAATATCTTATCATATATTATTTTAATACCAAATTCAAATCAAATTTTTTTCCAAACTAAGAACCTTACCCTATATAATATTCATGTCATGCATAGCTCATTCTATATAATATCTGTTATGTATATATGGTTGTATATATAGAAATTGCATAAAGAGATAATGAAACAGCTCGTCGGGTGTGTGGTAAAATAAATAAAGATTCTTTCGCTTTGTTTCAATTTAACATCTATTTTTTTATTTAAAATTTATATTAAAAAAATATTTTAGATGTCATCTTTCATTCAATTTTTCATTTTTTTTTAAAAAAGGTCCCAACAATGTGTCGTTTAATTTTTATTTTTTTAAAAAAGGAAAATACTTGTAATTCACTTGCAATTTAAAAAGTAGCATCATTCTTCTTTATGGTTTAAAAAATGTACGAGACTTCATTGTATTTTCAAAATTATTGCACAAAAAAAAAAAATTAGAGGATTACGTGTGATATTTTCGAAAATACGAGAGGATTTCATGCAATTTTTTAAGAATTTTGTGTAATACTTTTGTTGGAACACAAGAAAGCCTCATGCAGCTTGTACTCGTAAGAAATTATGGTGCAAATTTTTTTATTGACATGAAAAAAAAAAAAAAAAAAACCATATTAACGGTATTCTTTTATGAATTTTTAACAGATTTATATTATTTAAACTTTTTTTCTTTAAAAATATCAAATCAGCACAATTATTTTTTGTTTCTATATTATACTAAAAAATTATTTTATATTTAAAATATTACGTCAATATCTATTTATATCATATTAAACAAATATTTAAATTTAAATTTTACTATTTAAAAAATTCTAATAAAAAATTCAAACCCACGAATATGATTTTACACAGATTTAGTTGTCACAAAATACAAAAAAAAAATGACAGTAAGTGACAAGGACATAAATTGTGGATCGTCTCATTGGGAAAACTTGTCACTGCAATTGATGAATTAAAATTGTCTTCATATAATCCTACAAATGAGAAGAGGTATATTCCGAGTTTAAACCTAATGGGAGGAACAAATTAGCAGTCAAAATACATGCTAGCTGCCACAATATTAATTGACAATGGAAAACCCTAAAAACATTCATAAAGGTTCGTTTTGAAGTGACCATTACATATGTATGTATATATATATAAGGCGGCGTTTACGATGATGAATTTTAAATTCAGCACTGTACGCTGACAGATAGTACACGATATTATTACAGACAATACATTATATAAGTTAATATAATATAAATATAGTACATGAACTAACGATATATATTATAATATCATACAACACAAACAATAATTGATTTTGGCACATCACGTATTGTTATATATCACATGATTATGTGCTATTTGTATGTATAACGGTGCTGATTTGAAAATTCGGCACAAAATCGTTCACATTTATATGTAGGGTAAACTATTTTTTTGTCTCGTAACTTGACTCCTTTATCATTTTAGTATCGTAAATGGAGCATGTCGCAAACTAGTCCCATAAGTGAAAAATTTTCATTGTTTTAGTCCTTCGGCGCCGGAGACGCCTGTGTGGCTCGCCGGAAGCCACGTGTCCACCAGGTGTCCCACCAGATCAGCGACACTTGGCGGACACGTGAATTTTATTTTATTTTTCATTTTTTTAAAATGTTTTAAATTTTTTTTAATTGGATCAAATAAAAAATAAATTAAATTAAAAATAAATTTTTTAAAAAAATTAAAAAATAAAATCCATGTGTCCGTCACTCGGGCGTCTCCGACGCCGGAGGACTAAAACAGCGAAAAATTTTCACTTATGAAATTAGCTTGCAACATGCTCCGGTTACGAGACTAACATGATACTAAAATGAACTAAATTAATCACATATAGTTATAATCTTATTTCGTTGCCCCAAATCCAAATCATATCATTAATTCTTGCAGACGGGTCCGATGCCGATCATAGCAAACATCAACGTATTTGGTGATAAATTAAAATAATAACAAAATTGTGATATCTAGTTCAATATGTTTATTTTACATATTGTTAAAAGTATATATATATATAATTATTTTTAAATTTTAGAACTTAAAACAACAACAATAATAATAAATCTCATTTTGGTATATACATTTTCAAAGTACTTAAATTTTAGAATATTAGGAATAATTTATACATAAGAAATACAATAAAAGGATAACAAAACAAATTTTCTTTAAAAGCGGTTAAATAATCGATGATATTTTTGTAATAATATGTAAATTGTAATTGTTTTTGTATGGATCAAAATGTCAAATAGATATATTGATTCTCGAATGGGAGAATAATGATAAGTTATCTTGGTCACTTGGGTCCATTCTTTTTAGGCCCCGTTTGGATTGGCTTCTGGCAGGAGTTTTTTGCTTTTACTTCTAAAAAAGCAATTTGCACTTGTTTGCATTGGCTTCAGTCCAAAAGCAGAAGCAAAAGCGCTTTTGAAGCTGAAAAGTGTTTTTTTTTCAGAAACACATTGGGGGTAGCTTTTGAAATAAGAAGAAGTACTTTTCAGTTAAAATTAATGTTTTATCCTTAATATAATAATAATAATAATAATAATAATAAATACAATAATATAATATAATATAAAAATAAATAACTTATATATTATATTTTAGTACAAATTAAAAAATATAATTAATTTATTATTTATAATTTATGTACTATATTTGGATTAAAATTTAAAATTTAAATACCAAATGTAAATAGGAGTATATAAATTTTTTAATTATACTTAAATTACTAAGTATAATTTATAAAATTTTAAAATAAATTATAAAATACAAATTATATAATATTATACTGTAATTTTATGTTTAATTGATATATTATCCTTAAATTAAAATTTTAAAATATAAATAATTAAAATTTAAAAGTACATTTTTTATACTTTAATTTAAAATCTTTAAATATAATTTATAAAATTTAAATTAAATTATAAAAGTGTTATAGAAAAATACTAGTATTATATTAACCGCATGTTCTTTTAAGTAATTTTAAGAGTTTAAAAGCACTTTCAACTATATAACATCCAAACAGTTTTTTTACGAAAAGCTATTTTTATAATGATTTATCCAAACACATCGAACTGTTTCTGCTTTTGGCTTCTACTTCTACTTCTGCTTTTGACTTCTGCTTATTTTTTTAGTCAATCCAAACGGGCCCTTAATTTTTCTTTTCACACATTTTTTCAAAAGTATTAATATATTACACATCATTATTTTTATATTTTTTTACCCAATTCCCTATATTTCATATAAAAAATATATTTTCAAACTATTTTCATAAAATAAGCACAATTTTTTCTTTTTTAACAATTTAGTAGATTACGATTGAAATATACTAATTATATATTATAAAACATTTCAACATTTAATATTTAATTAATACTATATTTTCCTATCAATTTAAGTTTTTAGATGAGATAATAATTTAACCTGATATTAGAACAAGAGATCTTGTATTTGATTATTAAGAATATTGAATAGCATAAGCTAATACAATATGCATATTATTTCTATTAATATAATACAAATATAATGCACGCTTATAATATTAATAAGTAATATATATGTTCTTAGTTTACAGGATATCTAAAAGCTGCTCCATTTTTACTTTAGTATCGGTACTTTTTGAACAAAATAATACTTTTTCTGTCCGATTACAAAGGTTTCATTTACTTTTTTGCGTCATTGTACTTAATATTAAAAATATTCTTATATTTGTATAAATTTTTGCACAAATGTCATTATAATAGTATTATAAAACACTAATAAAAGTATTTTTAATATTCAAATATCAACATAAAAAATGTAAATATAACCTTTAAAGGTGGAAAACATAGTGTGTGTGTATATATATATTTTATTTCACAAACCATATTTGATGAAATCAACATAGTAGTAATTTTTCAAATGGGCTCAATAATCGAAAATTTAAACTCCTCGATCTAAAATTGAGGAGAAAAAAGTTGAGTAAACAATACCAACTTGTGGCACGAAACAAACATCCCCAGTTCACATCTCATCTTCAATTATACAAAGTGCATGTATGTGTATTTGAGGCAAGGGATTCTCTTTTTACTTTTCGCTGAGAGTGCACACTATGTAAATTTTTGGTCGAACTTAATATCTTGTAAATTAGTTGTGTGATAAGGCAAGTCACACTAGGCGAACTATGTGTGACAAATGGACCTGAAAGCGTTTGGAATCGGACTTTGGAGTTTCAACCATAACCCCACCATTCTTTTTTTTTTTTTTCTAAATAAAATTTGACCCACCAAGCTGAAAAAAAAAAAGAAATTAAATCTTTGGCCACGTCACCTCGGATTGATCTTCATCTTCATGGTCCTCTATACAGAGCTCCAGCAGCGTCGCCGTCCTCGGAATATTCTCCCCTCGCGGCGAGCCATTGGGAGAGTACTGTTCGGCGGCCAGGCTGAGGCTGAGGCTGAGGCAGCCGTCGCTCCAGGAGCGGCGGATGGGGTAGGCGACGGTGGCGCATCGGGATGCGTGGTGGCAACGGCGGCGAGACTGGTGGAGGGCGCAGCTGCAGTTCCGGTGGTAGGGGCGGCGCTGGACGCCGGAGTCTCCGCTTGATATGCATCCTTCCAGTAATATTCCCCGGAGAAACCCCTCCCCTGTCGTCGCCATTTTTGTCTTCTCGATTGATTCTTTCTCTCTCTGTTTGCCTCTTTGATTTTCCAGCTGTGGGACTCTGTGTATATATAGAAGCACCCCGTGTCTATGTATATATATATATATATATATACTTCTTTAGGAATCCCCGTTATTTTTAAGCGTGCGATACCTAGTAAGACAAGTTGCACTGCATTAGGCTAAGACAAAACCAAGTGAGTTCTAGATAATTTGTAGACGTATATTTTATGTTTTATATTTTATTCTTCCTCCATCGTCCAATTGTGTACTTATTTAACCGGTTACAGATTTTAAGAAATATAGGTAAAAATAAAAAAATTACTTTCTTCTGATAAAAAAAGTAGAAAAAATGGTATTTTTTTACTGAGAAAAAAAGATAATAAATTTGGATGATAATAAAAAAAAAATAAAATTGAAAATAGATTTGGATGAACGGAGGGAATATTTCCTTATGTGTTCTACTATCCTACTCTTAAATTATTTATTTTAATTGTTATTTAACATACTTTTTTATATGTATAAAATTTTGGTGGTACAAAATTTAAAATTCAGCACTGTGCTAAACAGCACATGGTATGTTGTTTGATAACACATAATAGTACTACATATATACATCACATGCATATGTTAATATAATACAAATACATTACATGAACAAAGAACTCATGTTATATTCTCAACAGCACACGGTATTATTATAGACAACGCATTGTATATGTTAGTATAATACAAATACAATACATGAACTAACAACATATATTATAGTCTCATACAGCATTCACAACAGTTGATTTTAGAACATAACATACTCTTATACAACATATTTGTTATTATAAAAAAAAACAACACATATCTTTATTATCCACAACATGTGTTGTATATAATAATAATGTGTGTTGTTTATATATATAACACGCGGTGTTTATATATATAACATGTGCTGAGTTAAAAAATCAGCATGATACTGATTTTTTCAATTCAGCGCTCTAACCATCCCCATAAAAATTACTCTTTCCGTCCCACATTGGAAATCCGCGTTACCGTAGACACGGGAATTTAGGATAAGTAAATAATTAAGAATGTATTAGTAAAAATAATTATCTTATAATATTAATAATTATAAATTAAAATTGAGATAACTAATTAGTTTAGTTAAAATTAAAAAAAAATTAAATTGAAAGTTTTAAAATGAGATTAAGATATATAATTATTTTCCAAAATAAGAAATTGACATAAGATATGAGACGGACAGAAATGACAATATGAATATGGTAGATGGGACGTAAGGAGTATTATGCTCATATATTTTATTTAATTGAATAATATTAATTTAGATAAATATAAAATCGAAAGTATTTATAATATAGCGGAATTCATATATATTAAAAGAATAAATCTAAATTTTGTATAATACTCACTTGCTTTTGTTAATTACATAATATTTTTTAAAAAAAAACTAGAATTTAAAGATTAGTGACGGTAAATTATGATATTATTTTATTATTTTTTATAAAAGTGATTTTTTATAATTTTAAAATAAAAATTAATATAAAAATTTTAAAAATTAATATATTTTGCCAAAATAAATGAATTGTTTTTTTTAAGCCGCTATAATAATTAAAGGGTAATAATAAAAAATATTCCTTCGGACTACGAAAAATATTGGAATATATTTATAAATAATCCAACTAAGGGTGTGTATAAATTTCATTTTTATTTTTTTATGTTTTTTTTATTATATACATGATTTTCTTTTCTACTAAATTACATATGTCATGTAAATTTTAAATTTTTTTTTGATAATAAATATATTACATGACAATTTAAATTGAAATATATATATATATATGTTATAATATATTATTCCAAATAATAAAATCAAATTTTCAATCATATTCTCAAACAATAAGCAAATGTCCATTAGTACTTGCCGACAAAACGCATTGTACATTTTTCAACAAGAGAACTTTGAAAACGTAATAAAGTACAATTAATTAATATAATATGCCATTTTTAAGTATTTTTACGAAAATGGAGGCATTGTTTTAATTTTAATAATAATTTTAATTTGTTTGGACATGAAAAGGTGTTTGATATAATAAATAATGCATACAAAATAAAAAAAAATAAAAAAATAAAAAATAAATACTACATATGAACAATAAGGATATATATATATGTTGAGATATTTTAGATATTCCGTTTTAGATTTAGTAAATTTATATCTAGATTTGATCTTATTCATAGATTAGATTATTTGAGTCTATCGAGTCTGTTTTGTATTGCCTATAAGATAATCTCATTATTTTCCCCCAAAATTTCTAACAATATATATGTTCTTTTTCTAAAACTAAACTTTCAATCAATAAAATTTTAAATTTATTATTAGATTATTTAATTTTAATATACTATTTGAGTGAACACAGTTAATGTTATAGTGTCAAATATATATTTAAAATATAATTAAATATTGAATTACAATTAATTCAATAGAACACTTGCTAAATTATAAGGTAACCATATTACCTACAAAATTCTTAAAATTTTATTAAGAAAAAATCTTTAAAATTTTGTTTTGAATAATGGTAAAATTTTTAAATTTGAATAGTTATTTGATATGATATAAATAAGTATTGATATAATATTTTGAATATAAAATTAATTTTTAATTACATAAAAATAAAAATAAATATTTAATTTGATGTTGTTCTTAAAAAAAATAATTTGTTAATCGTAAAGATCTTTTAAAAAATGCCAAGCAAACACAACCCAAGAGTTTTGTTCTTTTTTTTTTGTTTTATTTTAACTCCGGTTAGGGTATGGGCATAAATTTTACATTTGGATCAAATGTTGGCTGAATTTATCCGGCACATGTGCTGACGATGAGTTAAAACTTAATTATACTAATTTATATAATTAAATCATATTAATAATATAATTAAACCAAAAAAAAAAAAAAATTTAAGCATCAACATCTGATCTGTGCTGATAAATATTGATCATATACCATAATTTTCATTATGGTCTATGCACATGAAATTATATGTATATTATACCAGGGACGGAACTACATTAGGGCTTGGGGGTCAATTGACCCCCCAAGCTAAATTTTTTATAATTTTTTTAGTATTAAAAATATTAATTTTTATGTATTTACATACCATTTGCCCCCTCAAAATTATCTAAATTTATATCTAATTCAATCATTATTATTTATTTAAATTTATTAGCTAAAGATTAAATAAGTTATAATATTTTGCCCCCCGGGATTTAGATGCTAGTTTCGTCACTGATTATACCGAACCATTGGACCCCGATTGGTTCTATGATTTTCCCTATCATATATATATATATAGTCATAAAACTATTACTATATCTACTTTCATAAATATTCATATTACAATCGTGAAACAAATTCATCCTTTGAACATTAAAATATATATGTATATTCTAGCATTTATCTATTAATACGAATCTTGATTGAATATTAATAAAAAAATATAATTTATAAATACATTCATATACTATAAATAATATACTGTATTTTTTCACAAAAACTCAATAATTTAATATAAAGTATTGTTTTTTTATATTATCAACACAAATTTTCATATCTCGTACCAAAAAATATCTCACATTAAAATATTAAACAAACATCACAAGACATAAAAAATACATGCGTGTAAACGGTACAACACAAAAGTTATAACCCAACAAACAAATTTTTAATAATTTCCATTCCAAAACAATAGGAAACAACGTTTGTGAGTGAAGTTGTCATAGCAAAGTTTTGTTATTTTCCTAAATGGCAATAATAAATTAAATAATATATAGTTTGGTGAGAAAAATATTCTCCAAAATGATTTGAATCCAAAATAGAATATTATTGAATTGGTATCGTTAGTATTTGTGTTGTAATTGCATAGGAATTGTGGTTGTTGTCTTTGTATGACATGACCATTTTTCATTTTTTTTTTTTTTGTTTTCTTGTTTAATAAACCTTAATCCAATCATTAGACATATATGCCATAATAGTCACGTTTCTTTGGAAGAGTGCAAATATACAAAATTGGTTTTGCAAATAACTTCTTGCACTTGTCTTTAATTTAGGTCATCTACCCACTACCATTTTCTCACAAATCCAATTTCTTACAATTTAGCTAACTTACCATTTTCTCACAAATCCAATTTCTTCCAATTTAGCTAACTTTGAGTGTCTTTGGTCGGTTTGCTTATGGTTTTGTGTCTTAATTTAGTAATTTGGATATGATCTTTATGTTTGTAGAAACAAGAAATAATAATCTTTTAAAAAAAAAAGAACAAACATAAAAGTTGGGTATATTTCATAATAATAATAATAATAATAATAATAATGATAGTATTATCATTATTATTATCATGATTGTGTTTTTAGACGAAAAACTTGAACATACGGGTATATTTCATAATAATAATAATAATAATAATAATAATTATTAGTATTATCATTATTATTATTATGATTGTGTTTTTAGACGAAAAACTTGAACATAAACCAATTGATACGATTTTAATTTAAATGTAAGTATTGAATCGAACTGAAAAGAAAAGTATAACAACAAAGAATATAAACGCTCAAATACTGACACACTCTCATTATTCGGAAGATATTTCGTAGAAGATACCTTGAGTCTAGGGGGCAAAAACAGCCACAAGTGGTCGTAAACGCACCAATCATATTGATCCCTAGCCAGCTGAATTGATCGAAACTTGTTGTCCACTAGTAATGCACTGTAGAACTCCATAAATCTTTAACCAAACACACTAGAAGTGCTCGCCTACATAATCTACGGAAGAATCTCACATAAAACCTAATATATCTACATGTTGTCACTAAAAATCAATTGATGACGGCCAAATGATTTAGGCCTATTGAAACTAACGCTAATCAGATTCTCTGACCTCCGCAATAGAGAATTCAAGTTTGGTCTTGCAATTGAATATTGAAATGCAACAAATTCGGGATCAGAAAATATTGCGATGAACTAATTGGGAGCTACTAACGAGTGTGGTAAAATAAGAAAAATAAAAT